GGTTCAGAGAAGAACAGCTTGTTTCATTTGATAGGTAACAGCTTCTTGTACTCTTGATGTATAGTTTTAACTATGTATAACTAAAGTTTTTGTGGTAAGGTATTGTAACTTGGGCCAGGGTCTGCTAGCTGAATGTAAAGCAAAAAGATTTGAAATGCAATTATTATGGTACTTGTAATATACAATGTAAAAAATTAATGGCATATGACAGTATTTCATCCTCCTTAAATGGAGGTTGTGTGATTACTGCCCTGAGGGGAATGGTAGAGTCCCTAGTATGTGGCAGTTGGAGCGCCTGGTTTTCTGGACTGTGGGCACAAGATTACCAGACAGGATTTCCCTCACTGTGAATCTTCCCACAAAGAGCTGTATATTTATTTCATGGGTTTGAGTGTTACCTAGCAGCACAGTTGGAGCTATTACAGAGTAGTGGTTGAGGCTGCCTTAAATTCAGAAGTCCTGGACCTTAGGCACTGGCAAACTAATCCTAGAACATGCAGAAGACAGCATTACTGTCACCTGTCAGACAGTTGTATCAGTTCTGCAGTAACAGTGTGCCTGTATAGTAGGTAGGTTTGTAAAATGTTATATCAACTCTACAGTGTGAGTAAAGAGAACTCAAGACACTCCAGAAGTATCTGTGGTTACTGTGTCAGTTTCTACTGTATGTATATTTGAGAAAACTGGGATGAAATCTGTTGGGCCCATCTATATAAATCCTTTAACTTTTTAAATTGAGAGACCTAGCTTACATGTCATCTGTACATCCTCTCTCTGCAAACTGCACTTCACCTGATCAGCTGCTTGCATCCCCTTCATTAGCACTGTGCTCTCACATACCAAGTCAGGAGTGAAAACCCCAGGTTGTCCAGTTTTAGACAGATGCTATGATGAGTTTGAAGGCCTTGCTTGCTAAAGCAAGGGGAACCAGACAGGTACCTGTTCATGCATAGGCTCTTAGCACAGCGGGAAATAGTGGCACACAGCAGCTACTCCATGTTGGAAGTTGTTCTTGTGTGTTACATGTCAGAAACTCCTGCCTTAAATATCTAAAAAACCTACTGTCATCTCAGAGCTGAATTGATGGTCAGCTGTCTCTGACCTAGTCATGTAGTTTATCTTCATTTCTTCTGGCACTTCGAGACTTTAAAACTTACTATTTAGTGTTGTATACCTAGCACTGGAATGTTACAGTGCTTTCCAGCACACTCCTCTTTGTTGAGAAGAGGGGGATGTTGCCCTTGAAGAACTTTCTATGCTGAACATATAGCTGGCCTTGGATTATAGGTACCGCCTTCACTATAACTGGTGTAACTGTGCAGCAGTTACGAAGTACCAGCGCATCAGGAGAGAGGTAGACTGGGATGCAGAATTGCTTGGTTTTTAACATCTCTTTTGGTGTGTGATGTAATTTGAAGTTCTTACTAGACTAATACATTAAAATACTAAAACGCTTTATTCGTATCTCCAAATGCAAGTGAGAATCTTTGAATCCAGATGCTTGTCAGGAGTTCTTTTGTTCTGAAAATGTTGCGCTTGCAGGCTACTCTCTATCAAAACTTTCACCCTGATTTCTCCCTTTTTGGAGGATGGTGAGAGGGAAGGAAGGCACAGGTTTGTTTTGTTTTGTTTTTTTTTTTTAAAAAAAAGCAGAACTGAAAGAAGGAGGTTTCTTCTATAATGCTGTAGATGACTGTCACATCCGAGAACAGAGTATTCTATGCATGTAACTGCTTTCCAGTTTCTTCATTTTTCCTGACCTGTCCCTTTTTTCAGTTGTTCCAATTCGTAACTGTTGTCACAAATCAGTCCTGTCTCTGTATACAGTGGCAGGGCCAGGAACCTGGGGGTTGTTCTGTAGGAAACTTTTCAACTTTAACTCGCTGGTGCTTTGCTATAAATGGAGTGTGGAAGTACCTGTACTCAGAGAAAAAGTCGTACTTTCTTTCCATCTCTTTCCAGTGGTGAAGATTGGAATCAAATGCAGTCTCAGGAAGAAGATGTGGCAATAACTGAACAGGACCTTGAACTCATTAAAGAAAGAGAAACAGCAATCAGGCAATTAGAGGTGACCAGTAGATCCTGCACAGTTAGCAGTATTGGGAGATAAACCAAAGAAGTCGTGCAGTGCTAACTAATGGGATGGGCTGAGGAGATCTGAAGGTGGAGGAACAGAGTTCCTTGTAGAGAGGATTGATGCCAAGATCAATCTCCCTGCTCCTGTTGAAGGAGACTAGGTATATTTTCCTTCAGTGTTGACTGGTGGTCCTTCAGGATTGGTAGGAGCAACTCATGTTACAATGTTCATCTCAGTTCCATACTGTGCTAATTGCTATTGTGATGAAACACATATTCGGTAGCAGGAATATTATAGGCTTTTGTGTTAATCCCAAGTTCCATAGATAGTAGCATCAAGTCACCTCAGTCAGTGAATGACGGTATCTGTTCTGACACTTTAAGCGACAGTCAGAAGAGGTTACTAAGAATGAGGATTAGAAAAATTGTAACCAATGTTTGTTGTAACTTGTCAAACTGTTGTCTTCAGGCAGACATTTTGGATGTCAATCAGATATTTAAGGATTTAGCCATGATGATTCATGACCAAGGAGATATGATTGGTAAGTTTGTTTGGATACTAGGAAGTTTCTTTTTAGTTCAATTACATATTTTGCTTATGTAGGTGAAATTTTCCAGTATTTTGTGTAAAAAGTATTGTATTTCTGACTATTTTTTTAAACACTGAAGCTCTGAAATATTTTTACAATGAGTTCTCTTTATTTTTCCATAGATAGCATAGAGGCAAATGTGGAAAGTGCAGAAGTCCATGTGGAAAGAGCCAGTGAGCAGTTACAGAGAGCTGCCTATTATCAGGTAAATTCTGTATGCTTGCATTATTGTCAATGTACAGTTGAGCAATAATGGAACAGGCATAACAACACATACTGAGGACTAGGATTATCCCTAGAAGCATTCCAGGTCAGGTTGGACAGGGCTCTGAGCACCCTGATCTGGTTAAAGCTGTCCCTGCTCACTGCAGGGGGTTGGGCTGGATGATCTCTAAAGGTCCCTTCCAACCCAAAGCATTCAATGATTCTGTGACTGCAGCACACCAGACAAGTTATTAAAAACAGCTTGTGCAAGTTGGCACTCACTCAAAAACTGCTGTGAGGATTATTAAAGCACTTGAGTCAAAAACACAGTATTGAAGTTACCCCTCTCCTTCAGAGGTATGTAGTCAGTCTTTTCCTTCGTGTAGGTGTGCTCAGCAAGTTTAAATGTTTAGCTGTCTTTGCCATTCTCAGGAGTTAGCAGAACAGTTAAACAAGAACAAATTCTCATATTGTATCCATCTTGTAAACATATCAGCCAAGACACTGATGTGCAAAAATCCTTGCCTAGACTCAGGGAAACTTCTGGGATTTGCAGCACCCTTCTTTCTAACTGCCGAGTTTCTATCCTGTAGTCCGTCTTCCCTGTCCCATCAAATCTTTTGCAGTGGTTCTCACTGCTGCTTAAATCTCCTTTGTGTATGATATTCTATGTTTTCTGTAGGTTCCTTTCATCACTATTGTCCCTGTAGGTTCAGGTTCTGTGAAGGAACAAGGGTTCTACTTCAGTCAGTCCTATACAGAGTTTCACTGCTGGGACTTCAGGCTTCCACACAAGATAAAAAATTGGACTCTTTCAAGCTGTTAAGTGGGGAGGTACTAGAAGGCGATAAAACTCCAGTGCTGCTGCAAGGGAGGGAAAGTAGCTTTTACCATCTGGCAGTATTTAGTAGTAGTGGCTCTCTCCATGGCTTCCTTTATAAAGTTTTGATGTCTGTTATAAATCTAAGCTTGGGAGCTATTGGACATGCACTGGATGTGTTTTTCTGGATGGGGAAGGAAGTGGTTATATATACCTATCCTCAAATCCTTAGATACTAAGTTAAAAATATTTGGTGTATATGGACAGACTGTAGTTTCCTATGATGAATAATCAAAGCTGTAAAATCAAAGTACAGTAAGTGTGTATTAAATAATTTAAGCTGTAAAATGCAATACTGTTTCTACACCAGCTCCAAGTGGCCAAGGGGAGATTGTATCTGAGAACTGCCTAGCGGTTTTATTAGTCTTACCTGGAAAATCTAAGCAGCTATAGAGATGTTTGGCTTTCCTTTGAAGCCATGGTGTTGTCCCTTAGGATGAAAAGCACATGGTAGGTGGTGTCAAGTTGAAGTACAGCTTGCATTTTCCTTAAGAGAAGCAAAGCTTGTCACATTTTGACTTAACTGCATCTCTTAGGTCACTGTGGCCCTAAAACTAAAAAAATTTATCTGTAAGATCATGTGTTAAGGAACATGTAAAAGTGTTCACACTATACTGGTTACTTCTGAATAAGTATGGGTATCAAGTCCTCTAGTTTGCTGAAGTTAATGTTAACTGGTAGACTTACTCTTTCCTCTTGTCATCTGTTCCTGGTGTCAGTGGCTTTTTTTTCTTCTTTTATTAGAAGAAATCCCGTAAGAAGATCTGTATCCTGATTCTTGGTCTTGTTGTGGCTTCTATAATCATAGGATTCATTATCTGGCAGACAGCAAAATGAAATCTTCACGTGGAACCTAGTCTCATTGCTGAGATTTTTTTTTTCCCCTCAGAGCGAGCAGGCTGACTAGTCTCAGAAATGAATTAACCACCCTGAGAGAGCACAAGCTGGAACTACTAGTAATAGATATTAGCAACTAATGTGCAGATAACTAGTATTTGGAATTAGTGAACCATGGAGACAGTATTTATCAGTTTATATACAAATTATATTGTTTTATGTAACTAAAATCTTGTGGTTTTGCTTTCTGTAATGTATTATTCCCTGTCCCAACTGTATGCTGAAGTGTGATGAATAATTGGAGATGTCTTGTCAAAAACAAGTGGCACAACTTTAACATTTTATGTGTATAGGTAACTTTGTTGGACTGGAATAAGAATGACATTCAAAGAGGGCACAACACCAATTCACATTACCTTAATCCAGTGGTTTCTAAAGTCTCCGGTATCTGCCCCATGGTTTTATTAGTCTCCAAGTCGCTGTGGTTCTAGATTCTCTGGAAGAGAAAGATGTTGTTACAGGTTTGAAAAGCAAGGAGAAGTATGCATGGATGATAGCTGGAACCACTGCGTGCTGGTCAGTTTAGCCTTGAGACTTGTAACTGTATGTTGTTTAATTTTTTGAGCGTGGTTGGGGTTGGTTTTTTTCCAAAATGCATCATTTGAGGACAGAATGTTCTTTGACTTACAATCTAACAAGGCGACTTCCTTAGAGAAACTAGCTGGTGGTTTATTATTGGACTAATAAATCTCTTCTAATGCTGACTCTCAAGCACTAGAAATGCAAAGTTTAGCTGCTGACTTCTAATTGGTTTTTTGGAAGCTTCCAGGGAGAAAATCACTCAAAGATGAGAAAGTGGGCACCTAAGTTTACAAGCTAGCAAGATAGATGAGTACTAGCTGAAAGCTTTCTTCTGAAGAAGTACTCTTGAAGCTCACTTGTAGCATACTAGTAAATATTATGTGTAGTTTGTGAACATCTGGTATTTTCCATTCTTTATGAAACGGAAAGTGCAGAAACCAGCTCAGTGAAGTGCTAGGTTTTTCAGACTGAGGATGTGCGTGCAAAAGAAAAAGATCGCTGGTTCCAACTGTGTTGCTAGTAGAGCCGGACAGAACGTAGCAGCCACTCCCTGCTTCGATGTAGCTCTGAACTGACATGCACTGAGGGAACAGTGATCTGTCCAAAGCCCAAAAGAGTGTGGTAAATGCAGCATACTGACCCATTTTGTATTTAATCCTTATTCCATGTCTCTTGTACAATAAAGTAAATGTGAAAGCTGGGAAGGGAGTGTGTTCTCCCAATTGCACAGTGGTTTGCACTATTGCACCATCATTCCATCTAATAACCATCAATAAACACTTTTAAAAGCCTATGTCAGAGCTTCTTTCTCTTGCAGTTTAGATATTGGCGTGGGTATGTTTGCAGATCCCTCCGTAAGCAGGGTAGATGACTTTATATCGGTGACAGCAGTGTTTCCTCCAGCTTTAGTTCTGTGGTCCCTGATGCTTAAGACTGAAACTAACTGGAAACACTGAATGACTTTCACGTGGACATACACAAAACTCCTGTGCAGAGCTCTGTACAAAGCTGATCACAGAAAAATGAATCTGATGCCCCAGAACAGTGTTAGGTCAATTTTGACTAGCTGCCTGTTGCTAGAACTTCAAGTCTTTGCTGAGCCTGTAGGGTAAAATCTGGGAAAGGAACTGTGTATTGTTCTGCTCCTTATTTAAAATACTCCTCCTAAATGGTAGAGCCTGCTGCTTTCTGCACTGCCTGCTGCAGGGATGGCACATCTCCATATGAAAATGAAGGCGCTTACCTCATCCCCATGCCTGAAAGGGAGCCTGGGTGCATTAGTTGTGGGATCCATCCTCACTCTAGCCTATTTTAGTCCTCTGGAAACTGGAATTGAGAATGCCAGCCCAGCTTGCCAGACTCGAGACTGCTGTAATCGCTTGACTCCTTTCTCCTCTTCCTTCACATCCTTGAACTTAGCGGTGGAACTGCTGCAGAAACTGTTTCTAACAAGCGGTCTTGACTAACGTTTCTGAGCGTGAAAAATCACTGTTGGAAACTCTCATCTCTTGCTGCAGCATTCTGGCACTAAGCGCTCCAGGCTCTCAGATGTGTTTTCTCCCACTCTGGGGGATGCTGGACGCCGGCTCTAGGAGGGCCGGTGCTCGCCGAGAGCCAGCGCGGGGATAAGCTCGCTCCTGTCGCTCGTCGAGGCCGCCATTCTGCGGTGCGAGGGCCTCTGCACCACGGCTCCTGGGGAGCTGCAGCTCACGGGGATAACACCGGAGAAACGCGATTTCTCCCTCATGTAAGCTCAATTACCTGTACGTGTAAGAAAGTACGTGGCCCGCGTTACCGTCTGTTTTCCGTCTGCTGTTCTCTAAGAGCCGAGACGCTGAAGCGCTGGCTAGAATGGCGTCTGGAAGACCCGCTGCAGCAGGGTGCGATCTGGGCTGTTCCCCTGCTGTTGCACT